TCTACTCCAGAGGTCTAACTACCAGCCCAAGAGGATAATTTCTTTTTCTCTCTGGCTTTTGCTCCCTCCCTGGAAGTCTCACTCTTGAGAAATCTCCAGAATAAATCTTAGGGATGACTTAAGGATGACTAAGTTTTTCCAAATATTGGTAACAGGAACCCCCATCTCCTCAGTGGGCGCTAAATATACTACATGGAACAGACTGCCTTCATTTCACTCACTACGAAAATGCGTGAGACATAAAGGACTCATAGGAGCACATGAACAAATATAAAAAAATAAACCACTCCAATGGTCCACTAGGCTCACACATACCTATACATATATACATACGTACATATACACACAGAGATACGCACCCCAGAATGTTTTTTTTTTGATTAAAGCAAATATTTTCCATTCATCTTACACCTGTATCATCTGAGCAACTCATAGCAATAGAGAGGTTGGTAAGGTCCAGATTGCTTGTCTCCTCCCTCCCTCCACACTCCTAACTCAGGTCCTAATTATCTTGGAAGTAGCTAGAGTCACTGGGAACCAATCAGAGGAATTCCCTGAGTCTTCTTCCCAGGGTGCTAGATTGCATATCTTTCCATATGGAAAGTGGCCTTCAGACAAAGGTCTAGACTCTTGGAATCTCAATTTGATTGGGGAAGTAGGAGAACTCATCAAATCAACCAGGGATCTCCTGATCAGCTCCTTTTAAAAAGTAAAGATTTGTCATTTTCCCATAAGTGACATCAACCTCAAATCTAACATTACTTTGCCAGAATTATTAAGAAAGTGGAAAATTAAATGGAAAATACTTTTCATATTATTTTAAATTTTCAATAACCAAAGCATTTTTTCATTACAGGTATGCCCTGACTCACAGGGAATACACACACACACACACACATATACACACACACATATACATGTTATATATATATATATATATACACATACACATCAATAATTACATCAACATACATTAATGATCTCCCTCTTTTGGGATCTTGGTTCCTCTTGGAACATAGTAAATTTTCTCCAAGTTTACAAAACTGCCCTTTTGGATTCAGATAAGACCATCAGTGGCTTCCTCTTCTACCTTGAAGGGAGGGTGAATGGTAGGAGATGCTTCCCTATTACTGTCTCATTCTAGGTATCAATGTTCATTACAGATATGATACGCAAAAGGGAAGGGGGAACTATGTGTTCCACATCTCCCTGAGTTTCTTTCTCCCTACATAATCTGGAATACTTTTCCAAGAAAATGTGTTAATATAGTGGCTATATTCCCAGGCCAGTACACCCTCCACACCCACACCTCCTACACAAACTCTGAAATAATAAAATTAGTGCTATGATACAGCTACACTGTAGGTTAAACAGCACTTTGCGGGTTTTTGAGAACCACCATATTTTCCATGGGAAATTACTAGAGTTCTAAACAACTTACTTAAAAAGAAACTTTTAGACCGCAACAGTCTTGTAAATTGGAAACTACCTATATTGGTAAATTGTAAAGGAAGCCATAAAAGGTAAAAGTGGTTGTGGCTTTGAGTCTGTTGGTTTTATATTTTAAAAATAGATTCAACATTTAAGTTCTCTATGAAGTAGTAAAATATTTGCTGTTTTAACATTTTTCTAAACTTGTTTTAAAATTTATTTTATAAGATTTCAGTTAAATCTTAGCGGGAAGTTACTTCTTTTATATTTTGAGTATTGTTCAATGATATTCTTAATTTTCTCTAATAATTTGAACATAATTTCTTTCTAAATCATCATTCATATGTTTTCTCACCTAATGATTTTTAAATTTAATTGCTTAATGAATTTAATATTGTTTAATATTATTTTAATTTCATTTAATTTCCTTTAATGATTTTTGTTTTAAAATTCAGTCAGAGAAACTTCATAACTTAGGACTCTAAACATATTAATTCAGAACAATAAGATTAGATCTCTTATCCTTAGGGAACTTTCTTATTGGCTCAGACTAGATGCAATATTTAAAGTTGGACATTGTTAGTATATGACTTCTATCCCTTACTTTTAAAAAAAATTGCATTACACTAAATTTAAAGTGCATATTGTTGGGGTTTTCTCCAATATTATATTCCTTTTTCAAAGGTTTAACATAAACTGTCATAAAGGATGGTTTATTTTTTTCTTCCCCTGCCACTAGTTAAAATGGAGATGGATAGCTGTAAATAGGGTCCTACATGCTTTCTTTGCAAATTACATCATTTACATGGTAGTGCCACTTAATATAATTGCCATTCAGCCTAAAATGGAATAAATTTTAATTGCAGTTCATCTTTAATTATGATTTAGTGTTAAACTTTTTACGATTAACCACTCTTCTGAGTATTAATCATATTCTGTGTTGATTCTTTTCAATATTACTGTGTCCGGGTGTTTACAGTCTTTCGCTGAATTCTAAAATGTCAACTTGATTTTCCATATTGCTTCAACCCAAAATTATTTGATAAAGTTGAGGGTCAAAATGGCCTTCTGGGGACAGTGGATCTAAACTAACTTCTGACAAATTGATAAGATGATGGAAGATATTGAGCTTTTACTACACAGTATTCATAAAAAAAAAAAAAAAGGCCACTGACTCCAGTTTGGCTCAATGGGATCAAAGCCAGCTTCTGAGGCTTGAGTAGCTTCTGCGAGCGTCAATGAAACTGGATATTGCTGATTCAAGGACCAAGCTCTGGTTCAATGAAATAAGAGTGCTAGTGGATGAATGTGTAATTCAATGAAACTGAGTCTGACCAGTTCAGAATATTGGCTGGACTTAAGCTTGAATGAGGTGTTCATCAGGCCCTAAACTCAGAGTTAGGTGAGACTTTAAAATAATGCCACCCTAGGGAAAAGTGCTAAATTCCTCCAGGGTCTCTCCCTTGTTCTCTCATGGACGGCAATCTCTCCTCCTTCCACCCACTACTCCTGTGTTCTCATCCCCACCTCTTTCTGGAGTTTGTAGAAATTTATGATTGGCTTTTTACATCATTACTGGGGGTGTCAGAAAAGAGGTAATAAGCAAGTATAGTTTACTCTGAACCAACCCCCATGCAGGCGTGTGGGGAAATCAAGGGGAGGCTGGAACAAAAGCCCCAGCCTGGTCTGCTAAAACTAGCAAATCGTGGCAGGATTTAAGGGGTGGGCCTAAGGAGAATAACAGGACTTGGAAATCAGGATTTATCCATATTACAGAGTTTATTCCTTTTTTTTTTAAGGTGGTCGGAGGAAGGAGTTCACAAATGCCCATAGCTGGTGAGAAGGAAAAGCGAATAGTTTGCTTTGAATCCATCAAACAGTTCTGCCAGGGGGTAGGGTGGCATAGAAGGGCATCTCAAATCTCATATTTTGGGGGGTAGATGATAGGAAGGCAGTACTCAGCAAGGAAAGAAGAGGGAACTAGCACTTTTCTAAAAACAGACAGAAAAAAAAAAAAACAGGAGCAAGGTTATTCTTTGCGTGCCCGCTTGGCTCAGCCTTGAATGTGCCGGACTACAGGGACAAACACTGGCTGAGCACAGACTGAGCTGACTCCCGGATGTCCCCAGGACACTCTAATCTCCCACCCCTCCAACCGGCCCAACCATTTGTCAACCTGCCTGAACCCTAGGGTTGTTTTTCTGTCTCTGCCTCTGAATGGGTGGTGGAAAGAGGGGCGTGCTGAAGTTCGAGCAGACCCTCAGACCTTTGTGTTCCTGGCGGGGCTCCGTGTAGAACATTAGGAGCTGAGTTACTAGGCTGGCTGGAGAGAAGAGGAAGAAAGGAGGAAGAGAGATGTGGAGATAGAAGGACAAGAAAGAACGCCAGCCTGGGGTTCAGGGAAGGAACCTTTCCCGCTTTTCGGTCAGGTGGGCAAGGCTGCGTTATGCCTTGTTACTACAAAGCCACCAGACATCCTATCCTCGCTTCCCTAGCGCCGGCACCCTAGCCAGAGTCTAGCTTCCCTAGCAGCGCCTCCAGCGGCCTCCTTTGGGGAGGCGGGAGTAGGGGCGGATCTGAGGGCTGGAGATGGGCAAGGAGGCGTGCCGGGGGCAGGGTTGGTCGGGGTCTCAGGTGAGGAGATTGGGTGAGAGGTGCTCAGCAGGCGGCGCAAGGGGAAATGCTCCGGGGGCAGGGGAGACAGCAGGCAGTTTGGGTGAGTGCTTTGGGCTGGGCTTGAAACTGACGTACCAGTTCATCCTCTAGCCCCCAAGGAGATAGACAAACAGCGCGGGGACCCAGCACTGAGAGTATTTCTCTGGGCACCACTATTTCGGGATTTGAAACCAACGCCCCTAGTGCTCGCGGAGGAGACGCGTGATTCCCACTTGTTCTCTGCACTCCCTGGTTGTTCGGCCAGGATCCTGGGCTCCTTGTCTAGTCTCCTTTTCCAGCTCTCTGTAAATTGCCCTTGACAGATCTCCCTCTCGCGTGCCAAGTCGGAATAAGTCCCGATTTCGGGGTGTGTCAGTAAGCGCCAAACACTGGGGAAACGCCGTGACCTCACGGTTTCCAAAACATCCTCCTTCCGCGGGTATCCGCGGGGGCAACCGTCTACCTAGAGTGCCTGATCCCTTGGTCTCCGCCTGTTTATTCCACGTGAAATATTTTATATACTCTGGTGCACTGATGATCTTCAATAGCGGCTATCTGTGAAATGAGCTAGGAGGAATCCTAGGGTGAGGGAACCAGGGGCCAGTCAACTGCTAGTGTGAACACCCCTCCCGAGAGGGACGAGAGTTGGGCGGGAGTGGGGGGGGGGGGAGAGAAGCTAGAGGACATGTGCCTTGCCTGTTGCTGGAAGGGTGCAGCGAACGCCCAGTAGAAGTGGACAGAGGTTCCTCCTCTCGTTCCCCCTGGGAATCTAGGGCCACAGTAGGCTTGGTGCCATTAAAATAGGAACGAGGAGCACCTGGGATCATGAGAAGAATGAACGGGTGGGGCTGGGTGACAGTTATATATACACTTGGATCCAGATTCCCCCTACTGTCCTCCTTTCCTCTCCACCCATGGACTACAGGGCACCCGAGACCCTGAACAATGGAGTGGGTGGGCAGCGCCCCGGGCACCGAGTCGTGTAGGCTGGGTTACCCCCTAAGCTGCTCGCTCCGACGCCCTACCCCGAGTTGTCTCTTGAGGCAGATGGGCATCTTACGCTTAATCGATCTCACTTGGCTTTCAGTAGAACTGGCTGCCAACCCCCACCCTATCTTTGCGGGTGGGGAAGGCGCAGTCCACCTCTCCTCCAACCGACACTGGAGCTCCTGAGACCACTATGGGGGCTGGAGAGGTCAGGAAGGCAGGGGTGGGGGCTGGGACAGCTGCGTCTCTGCTGGGTTGGGTGCAGACAAACCCCGTTCCTCCTTCAGCAGTGGCAGCGGAGGCAGCAGCAACAGCAGCAGCAGACGGCTTGTGAGTTGCAAGAACAAGCTGCCGCCTCCGGGGCGCTTCGCACTCCTCTCCTCCAGGATTCGGAGTCCCTCTCTCTGCTGCTGCGGCCGCCGCCACTACCCTGGACCCATCTCCCGGGTCCCTTCAACCCCGGAGCGAACAGCATCCTACAGGCAGGTCACACGGAGGCTCTGCCTTGCCTTGCTCGCTGTGCCCTTCTCTTTTCACTGCCCAAGGAGAGACTGCCTATTAGTTGGCACTGAGACCCATTGCCCCTGGCGCCCTCCTTCCACATATACACCTCCTACGCTTAGAGAACCCTAGCCGGGACTCAGAGACAGACCGACTGACGGAGAAAAACACTGAGGGAAACTTATTCTGCTCCCTGTCTCTTGTCAGGCGATTACAAGCGAGCTTATCGGGGAAAGAGGGAGGGGAAAAGGGAGGAAAAGGGGAGAGGAGGGGAGGGGAGGGGAAGACGGAAGGAGAGAGGGGAGGGGAAAAAGAGGCGGGTGTGCAGTTTGTGAAACTCCTCTCTGTCTCGGCTCATCTTTTCAATTGCTTGCTTCTCTCCTTCCCGCAGACAGCCCCCCGGACCTCCCCTGGGCGCGATCTCGTCAGTTTCAAGGGGGGTCAAGGAAAAAAAAAAGACATCGGATTTTCTCCCTTCTTTCCTTTTTGGAATTTGGCTTTAGGCTACCCGTGTCTCCCTTCTCCCTCCCTCCAACACCGAGACCTCCTCCACCCACCCACACATTTGGATTTTTTTTTTTTTGGAAATGGCCCGGGCAGCGGCTCTTGGAAGAGGAACAAGTGTGGGAAAAGAGAGAGGAAACTGGAGCTAAATGACAGGATGCAGGCGACTTGAGACACAAAAAGAGAAGCATTTCTCCCGGATCAAGGCAGTGTTCCGCTGCTGCTTGCTTTTCTCCAAGTCAACCTGAAGGATTTTCAAGCTGCGGGAGGATTTGAGACTATCGGGGGAGGGAGTTTTTTTTCCCCCCTTTCCCTTTTGCCCTCCCCTTCTATTTGTCTCCTTCGCCCCCTCCCCGGGTCTTTTTCTCTGCCCGAGGCTCTCTGCGTCCTAGTTGAGGAGAATGGATTGGGGGCTGCTCGTCCTGCACTGTGCCGCGCTCACTGTAGCCCTTGCCAGCGCGGTTCGGAACGGTAAGTGACAGCAGGCGGCCGGAGAGGCGCGTCTGACAGCCGCACGCACGCTGCTGGGCCCCGGGCTGGAGGGCGCAGGAGCCCAGGGTGGGTGCTGCTCGGAGTGAGGAGTCGCCTGCGCCTTCTAGCTGGGTGGGCACCTCGCCACAGCTACTCGAGACTCAGGCACTCACTAGCCTTCTCGTGGCCTAAAGGAAACTTTTTTTGTGGAGTGGGGGAGGAGAAAATGTTAAACGTTTTACATCAAGAGGATTTCGGAACGTACGTGTGTGTGTGTGTGTGTGTGTGTGTGTGTGTGTGTGTGTGTGTGTTTCCTCTCTTCCCCTGTTACAAAGCAAAACTGCCTACCTTACCAGATCAGCGCACCAATTATCGTAATAATGTTTCCTCCCAAAGGCAATTAGATGAGAATCCCTTTCAAAATTTTGGTGGCTGCTGAAAGTAAATGAACACTTTAAAGAGGAAACTTCCTAGCCCTCTTAGTATCCTAAATATCCAGCAGCCTCTGGTGTGTGTCTGCAGGTACTGATGTGGAATGTGTGTTTTTCCGAGTGCTCCTAGTCATCTGTCCCCTAATCCTGTCATGAAAGTCTGGAGTTTGAATGAAAGTTACGTAGTGTCAATAAAGGAGTTTGATAAATACGGTATAGGAGACGAGCCTATCTGAAAATCCCTACAGTTCGGTTTGGTTTTAAAACCTCTTCGGGTTAAGTAAATGACAGAATGTGTGGGCTATAAACAGGACCGAGTAACATAAATAATGTTTTTAAATGTGATCTGGCTATAGGATTGTTTGCCCCTCACTTTAAAGTAGGTGAAGACTGGGATGTGAAAATCCCTTTTCAGTTAAGCCTTCAGCAATTATTATTAACTAATTATCAAATATTTGCTTTTGCCTGACTTGGATTTCAATCAAAGTAATTAGAAGAAAAGAACATCTACTACTTATTGTGGTATATTGTTTTAATAAGAGACCACAAGTGGAGTGTTTTATACTGAGAAGAATTTAAATCAGGGTTTTATGATGGAAGTTAATCTCCCTAATATGTTTTCAGGAGTCTGTGTGATTTAAGCAATAGATTCTTCCCCCCCCCCCCCCCCCCCCGCAACTACCAGTGTTCTCGCAAATATGCTAGGAAAGCAAAAATGTGTGAATGTTAATTTGTGACTTATTAATGAACTCCAGTTGGTGGTATCTTTCTGAACTCTCATAGCAAGGGCATGGGAGGGGGGTGAGATAATTTCCTCTTCCATTTGAGTGAGTTCAACTGACCAGTCCTTGGAAATTCACAGCCTTTTTTTTCCCCATTCATGGCAGACTTGGTATGTATGGTAAGAGAAGTGCACTGATAGTGGATTTGAAATCAAATGCAAAAGGTTGTAGAAAATTACATAGCAACTACGATGTCATATTTTTTCAAATGCTTAACAGGAGTAATGGGGACTGGTAAAGAAACAGAGATGCAGCCGATCAATCAGTTAGAGTTTGGGGGAGGGGGGTGAAACTGCGGAAACAGTGGAGTCACCAAGGCCATCCTCTTTAACTTATCAGAGCTCCTAAAGCCACATACACCTCTTCCCAAATGCCAGTGCCTGTTAAATTAATTCATTAACCTTATTTAGGACTAATGGTCCTGAGTCATTAGAAATTGCTCTTTCTTAATCAACTGTTAGAGAGATTTAACAGAGCCAGGGAGTCTAGCAGTCCAGTTATCTTATTATACTGTCACTTTCTCAGAAGTCACAGATTAAAGAGCATTGGTGGTACTGAGCCCACCTAATCGTCTTCTGAAGGGACTCTTGTCAAGTGACTAGGAGCAGAGCTGTTTTATTTCACTCTTTTAACAGATGCCAGATTCTGCCATGTTGTTTGCACAGAGCTGGAGGAGACTTAATGAGATGGGGTCACTTTCCAAGTTCTCGGCAAATTTAGAATAATGCAAGACTCTCAGTAGAATCACATAACAGAGTCCAATATGATCATTAGCCGAGATGTTGAACTCCAGTCGCAACATGGCTTGGTCTTGGCAAGCACAAGGCTTTTAAAAGCCAAAAAAAAAAAAAAAAAAGAGGAGAAACCAACATAAGTCTACTCTAGTCCAAGAATCATGGTTAGAAACATCCAGTGATTGAGAAAACAATAGAATTTATATTGTCTTCTTTCTCTCTAATTTATGGGAAATGATTTCTGTAATGCATGTAGCTTTATGCATTTTTGATGTGCATTTCATCTTTCATTTCCATTTGACCTGGTTTTCCTGTAATAAAATTCTGTACATTTATAAATTCATGCTGAGAGCAAAGAACGCCATTCTTTTTCCACAGGGAATCTATTAGATGCCATATTAAAATCTATATATACTATTACTGAAAAGTTGTGATTGATAGGCTTATATATTTCACTGGTGTCATACCTGTTCCTCTTCCATAGTTTATGCACAGATTTTTTTTTATTGCTAAAAATTAAGCATCAGTAAATGTGGCAGCCTTTCAAGCTGGAGCTCTCTAGTATGAAATCCATCATAAAAAGTGACAATGAAAATCGACACGGAACAATAAAATAAAGCAGCCTCAGAGACTGGTTTATTTAGCTCTTGGCGATCAAGCCAACATTTGGCTTTTGGAAATGATGAGTCTCAAAACCGTTAAGCCCACCTTTCCCAGGATGTTAGGCTGTGGCTTACCATATGTGGCACCTATACTTCCTGACATTGACTGTCCAACAGTTAGGTAATTAGAAATAAAGCTGTGTGATTATTTATTTTTCTTTCTGCACCATTACTTTGATCTAGTCTCCAGGCCTGAGCAACTTTACTCAGAGAAATAATGCAGAATTATTTCTGGTTCACTAAAAACACTTTGTTCTCTGCTCAGTCTGTGTTTCAGGGACAGAGATAGCTTGAAAGTACTGAGATTTATGAACTGATAAAACACAAGAAGGTTTGGCTGAAAGCAAGGTCTATGAAGATGGTCCCCAATGACCAATGACACAGACCAGGCTTATCATCAAAAAGCAACACAGGGGGTCAAACTGCATCTCTTAGTCACCTTCCACTTAGAACTTGTTACTTAATAAGATTACACTTCTTGGAGATAATTAAGTCTAGCAGAAGCCCCCTCGGGACCGTGTTAACATCAATTGAGGGGATTTAATGTTTTTAATGCTGGAAGATCTTTTTCTGCGGAAAGAACTTTGAAAAAAATTCCCCTTTGGAATGTTTGCTTTCAAAGAAAGTTCTCTATACTGTGCAAGTGCTTGGGAGATCAAATGATGATCTTGTTAGAACTATTTCAGACAACAATACTTGAAGAACCTGGGGGAAAAGTCACCGAAAAGTTTCCCTGAAAAAATAAAGTTCTGGAAAGTTTAACAACTGATAAATTGTCAAGAAAGCTAGACTGTCAAACTGTCATTTGTAAGGAAAAGATGAATTAAAAGCATGCTATTTTCATTCCAGGTAAATGTGGTGATAATATAAAAATTGTGAGTCCTGGGTACCTTACTTCTCCTGGTTATCCTCATTCTTATCACCCAAGCGAAAAATGTGAGTGGCTGATTCAGGCTCCAGACCCATACCAGAGAATTATGATCAACTTCAATCCTCACTTTGATTTGGAAGACAGAGACTGCAAGTAAGTCGGCTAATCCGAACAGGGCACTATGGCACCATCTAGTGGTCAGAAATGTCTATGGGGAGAGCCAAAGTAGAAAGGAAGAAAAGGGGGAAAAAACAGCTGATGTGTGCAAGATGGTTTATAAATGAATTAAGAAGCATCTGAAGCCAGACCAGATCATATGTTAGTGGTATAAGATATGAAGGTTATCTTTACTGACTTCTGAGTCTCAAATCCTGCAAGATTATCTTTAATTTTGTAATCTCTGTCTCCTTTTTCTCTAATGTAGGAAGGAGCCTGTTAATTTTTGCTGTTTAAGTTCTTAGTGTTTCAGTCATTTCTTTTTTTCTTGGAGGGGTATGAGAATAGTAAATAAAATCTCTGGTTAGCATTTTTATGAAAAATTGCGAGGCACTAAAATTTACAGCAACCACAAACAGCGAGGTCAGACATTTTTAGCAAATCTATGGAACATTTTACTATTTAAGAACTATATATCTTATTTATGCTTGATGTGGGAAACCATAAATTGTATTGGATGACAATAAGTCATATAGTGGTAAAAATAGGATAAGTGAATTTTCTGGTAGAGTAAATAATGACTTTTTATGAAGACATTCTAAAAATCAGTGTCTAAGTGCAAAAATTGATTCAATTGGTGTCACAAATATGGGACAGTGTCTTTTCCCATTTCCAGGAAAGGGTAGAATTCTAAGTGCTTCAACTTAGTTTTTCTGTTAATTTGTTAAAGGGTCCAATTATGCCTGACTTCATTATTAAAACAAAAGACATTTCCACATATAGGTATGATTAAAAAAAATCTTGACTTATCAGGAGGATATATGTAAATTTAATTTCTTTGTAATAATAACCCAGGTTATCTATTCTGCTTTTTGATATATGTTTGCCTTATCCACTATCGAGCAACTCTAGGTGAGGTGTGCTTTGAATATGATTAAATACTGCATTCAGCTCAATTTAGTGTTTGTTTATCTACTGTGGATACTTAGTAGTCCTCCTGTCTGTCTTATTCACATCATTATATGCTATAGCCTTACCTATACTCTTGTCTCTACTCTCCAGAGGTGTGAATTGGTATTCATATCAATCATTTGTGGAATTCAGGCATAGAAATCTTTCTATCAAGGGAGGGAGAAAACTATTTAGGTGTCAAATCTGTAATGTTTCTTGGGGAATGACAGTCTCCTCTAGTTTAAAGAACAGTCTCTCACTTATAATGCGTTGTATGCAGCCACGTCAATAAGAAAAAAATCCTTGTTATCTAGGCACATTTATTATTAAGTAAATTCTGTTTATTGTTCTTGCACACACACAGGACCTTTTCTTCTAAAAAGGATAATACTACAAATTATGATGTTATATAAAATGTATAAACATTCACACCAATAGCATTTTTCAACCATTTGCAGAGTTATTTTAGTAAATATACTGTTATAGGGCAGCATGGGGAAAATGAAGTATTCTGTTTAATCCAATGTTCCGGTTAATGGAGAGTTATTGTAAATACATAGATGGGTAAAAATTGTCAAAGAATTAAAATATAAGAAAATGTGCTATAAATAACATTCATCTTTATTTGATGATCCATAAGCACTACAAAGATCACAGATTTAGAGCTAGAAGGGAATCATAGATTTAGACCTGGAAGGGACCTTAAAGGATATGGAGTCTTACCCTTGCCTCTTCCTGCCACCATTTTCCAAATGAGGAAACTGAGGCTGAAAGAGGTTAAATGACTGACCCAAAGCCACACAGCTAGTAAGTGTCCAAAGTAGGATTTAAACCTGGGTCTTCCTGACACCAGTGCCAACATGCTATCCTCTCGCCATGCTGCCTCTTGCTTCAGATTATTGCTTGAGCTTCAGTTAGGTAATTCATAAACATTACAGCATATAAGTCTAGAAATATCAGTTCATAGAGTATTTTGCTGATCAGAATGCCAGACAACAGGGAATTTGCTATAGTTTGCTCTGCTGGGTGAATTTGTAGTGCCTGTCACCTAGACAACCTGAGTACCTAGTCTCCTGCTTATTTGGTTGCTTCTTAATGCCCATACTCCAGTAGACATTTCCTGTAAGAAACCTTTTTGCATCTTGTATTTATTCCAGTAAGTAAGGTACTTTTGGATTTGAGTCTAAATTATTTCCTATTTCTTGATCTGTAAATTATTACCATATGTATGTATAACACAGGAATTCTAAGGAGTTTCCACTTTGTTAGAAGTTTCAACATTGGAAGTCAATAAAGGGTAGACAGAGAGACAGAGAGACAGAGAGAGAGAGAGAGAGAGAGAGAGAGAGAGAGAGAGAGAGAGAGAGAATGAGAATTAAGAAGTAGGGGAAATTTAAATTTCTAAAAAGGAATAATATCAGTGATTTTGAAAAAAAAATTAGTGAGGCTAAGAAGGCTATATCACACAACTGCAGAATGTTAAGTCTGGAGGAAGAGAATCCATCCAATTATAGAGAATCCATCTCACTCATTTTACAGTAAGTTACTTGCCTAAGGTCATCCAGCCAGGGCTAGCTGAACAGACAGATTTGGGGGCGGTGGGGGGGGGAATGACATTTTCTGAATAATTGTGTTTATGGTTTAGTTCTAAGTTGCTACCTCTTGACCTACACAAAAAACTGGTATGTTGAATTTAGTGGGAGGAGAGAGAGAAAGAGAGTAATGTTAGAGATGAGTAGTTTTGTACTATATTATGCAATGTTGCTCCTTGACCTTGTAACTAATGGGAATTTCAAATGTGCAGAAAGATCAACCTCTGACTCTCCTCTGCCTGCCATACAAAATAGTATGCTAGCATACAACAGAGATAATGGGAGTAAATTCTGCAAGTGTGGCCACATTTTTCATGTCTTAGGTAGGTAGAAGACATAACTAGTAGCTTTTGTTTTTTTGTTTTTTTTTTTGTTTGTTTGTTTTTAGGCAGTTGGGATTAAGTGACTTGCCCAGGGTCACACAGCTAGTAAGTGTCAAGTGTTTAGTCTGAGGCCGGATTTGAACTCACATCCTCCTGACTTCAGGGCCAGTGTTCTATCCACTGCGCCACCTAGCTGCCCCATCTAGCAGCTTTTGTTGATAGTGATTTGGCACCTAATATTGGGAAGAATTTTCTTGGTACCTTGGAAGGAGGAGGGAAGCAGAAATATTTTTGAAGAAATTGGATCCTTGGGCAAAAATTCAGTAGTAATATAAAGGTTCACAAGTGAAACATCTTCAGGAAGCATAGTTGAAAGAGTCAGACTGCATTGGGTTCTGATTTCAACTCTTCCCCTAGCAAACAGTTTGATCTTAAGCAACTCACCTAATCATTCTGTGCCTCAGTTTCCTTGTGGAGTTACATGTTTTACCTATCTCATAAGATTGTTATTTCAATAAAATGAGATCATACATGTAGAAGCACCTCCAGCTGCTGGAGTCCTCTGTCCCTAACTGCTTGGCATTTGGTTTGTATTCATTTTATGTATATTTATGTACACCTTACTTTCCTCCATGGAATGTAAGCATCTTGAGAGCAAGAATCACTTCATTTGTTATCTTTGTTTTGAGAATGTCTAGCAAAGTACCTGGCACAGAGTAGGTGCTTAATAAATGTTAGTTGATTGATTGATTGATTTGGAAAACTAAAAGCAGTCCTCAAATGTTAAGCATTTTTATTTTCATTATATCATTCCCAGAATTTTAATTAGTAACTACATATTTAAAACTTAGAAATCCTAATATATCTAGTAATTGTAATGGTTAATACTTTAGGGCTATCTTGCAAATTAAAATTTAATGGCATTTCACCGCATGGAATTTACATGTCATTTTCTTGTTTTGGCCAGCTTAAATAAGTTTAATACTTTGGACAATGTGTGATTTTTTGAGAGTGTGGGTATTTCCTCCATTGGCACAAATCACACTCTGCTTTAGTAGGTGGTTTCTTGAGTTATTATAGACCCAGTTCCTCCTTTTAACACTGCCCCCACTCTCAGAAAAGCAATATCACCTGATGGCCAACCTCTCTGCACTTAGCTAAGCCAGTCTTTGATCAACAATCCATTGCCAGGCTGTATTGGAAATTCTTCCAAAATAGCAGGAGATGCCAGAGCCTAGGACTTTGGTCATCTTCTTTGAGAACCCAGGTTTATGTCCATGCCACGATCAGGCATCCAAGTAGGATTTCAATGGAGAATGGCCAACGTTTACGCTATAAAAGCAGGAGCAGGTGGGTCTAAGATAAAAACCCTTTGAGGAGAATCATAGAGTGCCAAGTCAGCAATTGCCATTTGTGGGGATTGAAGATAGAGAAGTAATTAGACTTTCACAATGAGTAAGTCAGGACTAATGGAACAATATCCTAAGGACAGGATTAGTGGGAAAACATTCCGGAAATTCAGTGTTGCAATCAACCACTGTAGTAGTCACAGCCTTCCACTGAAAGGTCTCTGTATTATATTGCATGACTGAACTAAGGAACTGACTTCTTATTTTAAAGGTGATGGAGAGAACTCATCCTTACAGTCACTCTGTTAACAGTGTGGGGGGACGATTCCCTTATAATCCAAGAAAAATGAATTGTTAAATTCAATTGTAACAGGTTATGGTTATTAATGACTCGGAGATTGTATAATGTCTATGTGTAGGGTTCAGAGGGGTTTACAATCTCCCAGAAAGTTAGTTGTGCTAACTTTTTTTTTTAATATGGGGGCAAGGGTAGAGATAGTAAGTAGACAATGAAGGAGGTATAGAAGGAAGGAGAAGGAAGGTACCTTTTCCTTTTTACACCAGTAAAAACTTGCTTGTTTGTGAAGAGACAGTTGAAAGTGAGAGAGAAAGAGGGAAACTGACCCATGAAGCATCTGGTGAAGCATTGCTCAGAACATTTTAATGCCTGCTCTATGTTGTAAATGGCTTTTGGTGTTTACATTAGGTTAGCTGGGTCTTACTCCGTTAAGGTTTCCTTTCTGTGGTAAAGCAGACATCTTGAATCTCATAAAACTTTATAT